GCAAACGGTTTCACAAAGTAAAAGCTCAGTGTGTTAATTAAAGAAAAGATTGAATTTTAAATTTTAGATAAACTTATAACTATTCCTACTGGGATAATCAAAGCATACCTTTCGTGCTTCTCTTATAGACATCCTACCTTTGTGCTTGCAAAAGTGTTATGTCTGCCTAAATAAAAATGAAAACTAAATAACATTAGGCCATCATAGCAGAGGGACGCTTGAGTAATGGATAGCGGATCGAATTCCAGTCAAGTTCATTACAATTCACTTACGTGAATGCTTGGGAGAGATATGAATCGATCATCCGCAAAAGAAATAGTAGGACAAACTGGGACCTATAGCCTTGATTTTCCATCAGTTTAAAAGCTGCTTTGTTAGTTTGCCTTTTTAAATTCTGAAAGGGTGGATGTCGTAACTTCTACATCCCCAGTGCAAAGGAACCAGCAAACCATTGCATTATCCCGTGTTAAGTATCACCCTGAACCACAACTGTAAGATAGAGGAAAGCGGTCACCACAGCGTCGCAGAAAGATGCGATAACAGAATAAATGAATAAATGATAGAACGACATATTTATACATCTTACGAAAATAGACTTATTTCAGACGACCTTGTTGATTGGTAAAATAAATATTTCTATAAGAAGGATCAAAAATTACGCAACCATTATGTGAGGAAATTTTAAATGTAATTAATAAATGAAACAATCGTATATGTTTGTTGTAATATCTTATTGTGAAATTTTATTTGCCTAATTATGGAAGTTGATGTAACAAAAATGACCTTTATTTGCCACATCACGATTGGGCGTTATTCTCCAGTGGGAACGGGGCATTTGTGCCAACCTCTATGAATACGTTTCCCATTACCAATACCAAAATCTACAAATAGTTCGGTGTATGGAAAAGTTGTAACACATTTATTATAGGAGATAAGGAATTTAAAATAGAATAGACTGCGCTAGAGGTAATTTTGCCCAACACTGCAAATTGCTATAAATACAAAACATTAACCTGAAAACTCAAGTCATGATCTTAAATAGCAAAATGGTCAGATCGAGATTGTCATAAAGATAAAAAGCCCCTGTTCAGAAATATATAATCTATGAACTGTATATAACCGCCTTCTAAGATCAATAGTTAAATAACTTTGATCTGGGGAATCCTGTAGATCTAGGGGAAGACCATTCTTCTTCAAATATTGTGGACTGGCGCTACATAATCATAAAGAACTCTACCGGATAACAGAAATCACATCACTAGAGGACTTTCAAAAGCAGCAACAACTATTATGGATAACTCGTGCTGCATTTAATAATGACATAATGAAGATATTAATGTTCCAAACTACTTCAAATAAATGGTTAGGAAGGAAACCGTCATCAATATTGGAAAGCGTTATAACAGAAACCTATTTTCCTGACAATTTGTTTTGAGAGAAAGATTATATAAATTTCAATTTAAAAACGGGCTGCTTGATCAATGAATGCCGAAAGTGTATTTATAAGGAAACAGCTAATATTGCCATATTAACATAAGCTTGCACTTTAGTTATTAATACTTTTATAATTTACTTATATTTACAGATAAGTAATACTCTTTAATGTCATGATCCCGACTCTCTCCAGAGTCCTTTTCTTTATTATCTATGAATTGTCATTCGATAGTGGAAAATATACTGGAGTTTGGAATTCAGAATTTGCTTAAGCCAGAACACATCCTAAGTGTATTTTTCCGTGTTTAAATTTTATGGGTTAATAATAATAATAATAATAATAATAATAAGAAGAAGAAGAAGAAGAAGAAGAACTAGAAAAACCTGTGAAAAATTCACGTTTTACCTATTTTAATTTTCTGATGAAACTTAATTCTTAAGTTAATGATAGAATACACTCATGGCGAATTCTACGACAATACAAGATCGCTAATGTCATCGTTACCTATTTGAGCTTAAAGTGGGGAGCGATAATCGCCTACGTCCTGAAAGGAAACGAGGGATAAAATGAATGAAAACTTTAAAAACAATATTGTAACAACAATCATAAATATAAATGCTGGTCGTTATTCTAAAAAATAAACAGGTACATATGAAAAGATTTGAAATTCATTTAGATTTGTTGCCACAAATGTTGCTATTTAACCTGTAACTGAAATAGAGGAAGAGTCATTTCCTTACGTCATTTGTGCGAAAGTGGATACAACAGACAAGCCTAGAATTTGGTTCATCGATTGCATTTTTCCGCGCCGATATACGAATTCAAATTCAAAGTTATTTACGAATTCCTAATACAAGAAAACATCTTTATATCTGCCGTATTTCAGTATTTATTAGTAATATTTTATTATTTCCATATTCTAATTATGTTTATCCCTGCCTTACTTTTTTAGTACGTATGTTACGCCAATACCAAAAACATAATGGACTAGTCCGTTCTGGTCGCGTGAAAAGAAGTAAATGAAATATCAGTGACTCTACTTAGTTTTAGTAAGAAAAATGAAAGAAAGAAAGAAAGAAAGAAAGAAAATGACAGTTATACCTTCACAAACCTAATAAAGTGTAGACTATATCGTTATCCTCGACTGGTAAAAGGGAAAAGTAATATCAGAGACGCTACTTGGTTTCATTGAGGAAATGAAATAATAAAAACCAGTAAGAAGAAAAAAATGACAATTACGCCCCGCCAAACCTAATAAATAATGGACGATTTCGTTGACATTTCCGTGAAATGGAAAAAGTTGTCAATTTCTGTTATGGTCCAGTTCCTTGTACCACGGTGATAGTCCAAGGTAGAATCAATAAAGAAGAACTCGAACACGGATATGGAATAACACAGATATATTACAAACAGTAATATATACAGAGAAGTAGAAAGTGTTAGTACGAACAATCAGGTTTAGTAGAGAGAACAATGTAGTCTCGACCAGTATCACTATTCCAATGTCTTGTAGTAATTGTCTGAACGCGACTGTGTTTCGGACTGCCTCTGACTCTTGACTCGACTTGAACTACTGACTCACTGACTCGAACTACTGACTCCGAACTACTGACTCTCCTTGCCTACTCCTGAGGCGCAGTATTTATTAAGTATGGAATAGTCTATTATTATTATTATTATGGGTAAGATCCCATAACAATTTCAAATCTTTTCATATGAAACTTCTTCCAATAACGACCAGCATTTATAATTGTTGCTGCAATATTTTTTAAAGCTGCTAAGCTCAAAGAGGTAACGATGTGATTGGGGAATTCCTACGGATATTGTATTGTCTTAGAACTCACCATGAACGTATTCAATCATTAACTTAAGAATTAAATCTCATCAGAAAATTAAAATAGGTAAACCGTGAAATTTTCACGGGTATTTCTTCTTTCTTCTTCCTTATTATTATTATTTAACCTATAAAACTTTCACACAGAAAAATACACTTAGAATGTGTTGTGTCTTAAGCTAATACGATACAAATTGCCGTTTAAATGCATTTTACTCGTGTGTTGCTTACATCCTCTTTTGTTAAATGTGAGTCAGTTCTTTCACTTAACAAGTAACTCTATTTACTAATGCATCGGGTGATTTCTGTATTCACGTGGTTCTATATTTAGTAGGCTGAAAAAGCAATAAAACGCAAGACTAATTGAAATAGAATGCACGCCTGAATCGTCTTTTACGAATGACGTGGCCAAAATAGAATTCGAAACAAACTTTTAACCAATATTGATTTCTATCATATTCAATCAATCGATGCAGCGTTTGATGAGGATAACCTCTTAAATTATTCAATAGTATTTATCATCACCAAAACAAAATGCAAAAAAAGAAAGATATGTTGAAAATTAAAAATAAAAGCATGAAAAATTACACCGTTTCAATTTATTTTTGGCAATTTAATCGTTCCAAAGAGGATGTTGCGAAATCTTTATTTGTTCCATCCTAATGCAGTAAAGTTAATTATTAAAACTTTTAAAGCAATGATTGAAGGAAGTCAAAATGAAGATGGAACACGTAATTCTCACCTAGAATACTGACGATATTTTGGTAAAGACCTTTTAATTATTAAATTTTGAGCTCTTTTTTCATCTTGTCTCTTATTACAACTTCTTCTATGTGCCAATGTTCTTTTAGATCGTTATCAATCATGGATCTCCACAACTTCCAATCTTTTGTAGCTTCTAGTAAATTTTGCTTTTTTTGTTACCTCTCCTAAACGCTGTCTGGTTTTCAATTTATCAACTTTTTGCAGGTTATTTAAAACCTGAAACTATTTTTAGATTTAACATTTTTTGGCGGGGCGGGGGATAATAATGATTTACTGATATATATTTTATTAATTAAGCCATATCAGGGGGAGAAGATGGGGACTGATATCTTTCTCGAATATATTAGTCCCTATGTGAATTCAACTCGGATTTGAACTCAGCTCTCCGATTTATCAATGCGAGCCATTACTCTACCGTGCCTCCGTGTCCATTGGAGACTGCCGAATAAAGGAAGTGCATGAATTTTACTATCAGTGTAATATAGAAACAGTGTAGGAAAAGATCACGTAACATTTTGACAGCGAAAGATGTCTTCCAGAATACAAGTAAACTACAAGTAACTGACTATGTTTTTAAACCGCAGAAAAGGTTACTCAACCCTTTTATAAATTATCATCTCCTATATTAGAGCGAATCCAGTACAACCAACTAAGAGATATAGGAGAGACTTGAAGCGACAGACATGTAGTTTGAATGATTGATTCGTTTGTTAAGGCTTATAAAACCTTTGCAGGTTATTTAAATAAACTATTTTCAGAGTGAAACAATTTTGGGAGGATATGATAATGATTTAGTGATACAAATCTTACTAATTAACCCATAGCTGAGGGAAAAGAAGTAAATTCATAACTTCCTCCATGGTATTTGCGCGTAAATGAATATACTGAACCCAACAGGAATTGGAACTCATCTCTCCAACTGACAATTCCGAGCCATTATCAATTATACCAATCTCACGTTCAAGTTTACAGCACCTTCTATCCCCAAGCGGTTACCCATATAGGTACTGACCAGGCTCGACGTTGCTTAACTTCTGTGATTGTACGGGAACTAATGTTTCAACGTGATGTGGCCATAAGCCCAAGCATGTAGTTATCTAGTAAAAAGGCTGAGTATACGATCGACGTCACATTTGACCATCGAGAAGATTTTAAGAATAATTAGCTCTATAAGGAAACTAATAAGTGCAACTAGTAAAAACAGATGGAATTCCTGGGATAAATCCTGAGGAAAGATGGCTTGGACAATTTAACACTCCCATGACCTATTGAAATCAAGGGAAATGAAGTAATCTGATTAATGATTTGGAGTGAAATGATGGAAGAACGAAGACAAATAACAGTGATAATCAAAGGCTTCTAATAGCACCAAATGGCAGGAAAGACGTAGATGCCTGAATCGTCTAATTCCTGAAGAGATATAGGATCTAAAAGAAGAAGAAAAGTGAAATGCATTCATTCAATCCAATATTTTTTTAATCAATTCATCCCAAGCAAGTCGATAATGCCACTAAGACGCAATAGACTACTGGGAATGAAAGATAAATGAAATGACTTTAGAATGAAACCGGAAACCGAATCCTTTACTAGGGACAAAAGCCCGATGACTAGTATCACCTAGACCATAGGCGAAACTATCTACTCCTATTGCATAGATATTACTACAGCAAATTCTGTCGGAAAAGTTACTATAGAACAGTAATGGCCAAACTGCGACTCACAGGCCACATCTTTTGACCTGGAGCTCGTAGATATATGTTAATATGTTATTTTCATGTTAATATGTTTTGTTTTTCAGTTTATATGAAAGGTAAATAAGAAAAACAATTCAAGATTTATAATTATTTACTGGGCAGGAGTTGTGAACCATTGAATTAAAACGTATGTTTAATGTTCACGGTAAGTAAAAATATTTAAGAATTTAAATCCTAATTTTAATGCTAGATCTGAATGGGGCATTGTTCATTACTGCAGATGGAAGGAATGGTGGGAGGCGGAGAGATTAAAGGAACGTCAGAAGAGTGATATCATGGGTAAGGGAAGTAAAGGTTTGGGTGCGCCGGAATGGGAGTGAGAGTGGATATAAGTGCATGTAACAAAAAACATATGTGTAAATTTTGTTCATGTATGCGGCGCTTAAACATCTGAACTTTAACTCTCACATTAAGCAAGTTTGGCCACCCCTGCTATAGAACAATAGTAACCATTTCATAATAGCGATGCATGCAGTTTAGGCGCTGTTTCTGTTGCTAATGCTTTACTTCCTCCATTTTGAAAAGAATCATTTGCTTCAGTAAGAAAGTTACATTCCTAGAGATAAAGAAATGTCAACTACGACAATGAAACGAACTTAGCAATATTGCCAGCCAAATTTTAGATTTCGGCACACATTTTTTTTTTATGGTGTTCAATCAGAATCAGTATCACTGAAAGAATATAGTTATTAACTAGTTCCCACCCCCGTCTAGCGAGCCTTGACTGCCTTAGTATTTAATCCATAACAGAAGGATAAGAGGTGTCTAGTAGGCAGTAGCTCGCATCCGAGCATCGAGATTGCCATCCTCTCTCCTTTTCTACACTCTTTTAAAATTAAAAATAATATGAATTTTATCTCGATTCTGTCTTGTCTTGGTGCTAAACAATGAACAATTGTCGAAAAAAAATGTTTATTGTATTTAGCTGAAAAAATCCCAAACAATTTCGTTGAACTGTATGTATCACCTTTTCTTTCGTTATTTTCCAAATTATTTTGTTATTTAATAACAATTATTTTTACGTGATACATGTTTGAATTAATGATTGTTTTAATCTATCTGCCTCTTGATGTGCTTCAAAAAGATCGAATCGTTAGATACATTACCTACTACAGTAGCGTTTTTCCATCAACCGGATCTAGAATACGCATATTTCATCACCTGATGAAGTTCATGACTCTTCTTAAAAGAAAAACAAAGAAAGTAAACGCTTAGAGATTAAAATATAAAGGACAAATATTTAAAAGTCCTTCAAATAAGTCAATGCGTTAAACGCAACTATAGATGTATCCGTATTCCCGAATAATAAAATGTGAGACATGCAGCCCCCTACTGTTCAAGTTAATATTGTGACCTTGGGTGTATAGCATCGAACTTAGTCCTACATAGAGAAAATCGGAATAAAGCCCCGTACCATATCGCTTCAGAACACTATGTTGCTTGGCAGTGCAAATATTATACGAAAAGTGCCATTTCTCTCTCAGGTTGTATGACTTGATAGAGAGAGCGTATAATGGATGATTTCCAGTTGAAAACCTAAACCTTACGATAATAATAATAATAATAATAATAATAATAATAATAATGCAGACAAACTCTTTACATATCAGTTGTTACGTAGTGCAGAATTAAAAGCATAAATCGATGGTTTTATTCTTGCTGCACAGGACCAATTCTTGCTAACTAGAAATTACTGAAAAATTGTGTTGATCCGAAATGCAGATTCTTTGATAAATATCCAGAATCAATTGACCATCTTGTATCAGATTGCACGGTGTTAGCACTCACTGAATGTAAAATTCGGTTAAATAGTGTGGGAAAATAA